CCCCCTTCTTGGGAGATAATACTGAGAAGTTTCTCAAATATACTCTCGAACGCAAGTGCCTTTTGTATATCAACGTTGGAGTCGATAAGGGCCTGAGTAAGGAGTAGGGCTTCGTTGCGAATGATCTCGCGTCGTTCGTCGAGGATAGTTAGAATTGACGATGGGCCACCGGGGTCGGAAAGGAAGTGTTGTTGCACTTTCTGTGGCCGATTGAGAAGGAGAACAGACAGTAATTGCACGGACGTAAAGCGAACGTAGAAGTTTGTTTGTGTCAGTAAGTATAGCAATGTATGTGTGGCTTCAGGTTGCTACCAGCAGTGCGTATGAGCCCGCTGATATGACGAGAGTCCTGGGAGACATACCTGAAGGATAATATCGGTATGTTTTAACCCGATGTCGTCCTTGGGAATCTTACTCTTGGATTTGGAGCCTTCAGCTTCGGCAGGTTCACTGCATTCGCAGAGAATGACGAGTGTCTCCAACGTGGCTTTTCCGATATCTGAGTCCTCCTTTGCATCTACTTGGAGCACACTGATGAGTGCGAGCAAAGAGTGTTCCCCCACAGCTTGTTTCCAGTCCCGAGACAGCCCCTTGAGCGACAAAACTGCAGCGCGTCGGTCTGATAGTAGGGCAGATTGCGTCAAGCGGTCCGTAATTTTCTGAATGGTTTCTATTGCAGGAGGGGGTGGCTTCCCTGCGGGACCCAGTAGAGCATTATTGATTTGGTTGAGATAGTTCATTGAAGCAGGTCGTCGATTGACTGGACACGGAGGTTGCCGATGCTCAAAGACAAAGACAGTTCCCGGCGTGTTTTGGAGCAAAAGCTAATAAGGGATAGACCTCCACTCATACCATGAATTGATGGTAGTGTGAGAGCATTTTGGCGCTCAATGCAGGAGACAATATTGAATACACACAAAGAAGGACCTCCATACACAAAAAAATTCATGGCATCGAAATTGAAAGCGGCATTCTCAACATCTGGTCACCACGTTGAATATTAATCTAGAAGAGAGGAAGAAACCCAAATAACTGGAACGACGAAGGGATTACGTAATTGTCGGAAACTTCCCGTCCACGTCTCGTTCTGGAGGGTACCCGATCGACATGGCCCTTGTTGATAAGAAACGGTCGTCGATATCGGACCTCCATGGACCCAGACATCCTGCCTCGAGCCTATTTATTCCCCCCGCAAAATATCACAAACGACGCCCTGGGAATTCGCCTGTTTCGTCACCCAGCGACGAGAAAGCATACAAACAAAACTACGATCCTTCGTTTCCTCCATCAACCCAAAGACCGCGAGTGTACAATGCCTACCCCGTAATTTCGCCCCCACCCCCCATACCCCATGGGGACCTTGAAACCGTGACATCTAAATATGCTTCGGTACCTATTGAGGTGCGAGTTTGTTCATTCACACATTGACGATGTCCATCCTCACGTCGCCTGGATGCTCCCATAGGAAGTCTTGTCTTTTTTCCGGACTGATCCAACAGTTGGTCTATCGTCCTCCATCGTCCCTACCCTCCGTGCCACACATGGATATAATGAATTTTCCTCCTCGTCTTCTATTTCTGCCTTTCGCAAGATCTTCGACACAATCTATGGGTCTCCTTTGAACCTTTTGCTTCTCGGAAGTGCGGCTATCAGTGTGATCGTGGGAAATATTGATGATGCTGTCAGTATCACTATTTCCATCCTGATAGTTTTGACCGGTAAGTCTTGAACCAGGAGTGTGAATAATACCCTCATTCGTTATGGTTTATTACAGTTGGTTTCGTGCAGGAACGTCGGTCGGAGAAATCGTTAGAGGCACTGAATCGCCTGGTTCCCCATTATTGTCATCTTCTTCGGTACCTTACCCTTTCCAACTGATTCAGACTTTCCCTAAATCATGATGCTTGCAGGGACTCGCGACAAACCACTGTATTAGCCAGTGAGCTGCTTCCAGGAGACATAGTCTCCTTCACAGTGGGAGACCGCATTCCTGCCGACGTGCGGCTTTTAACGACGCTCGATCTGTATATAGACGAGTCAAGTCTCACTGGCGAGGCTCACGCTGTACGAAAGAGCACAGATCCTTGTGCAAGGGGTGTACCACTTGGGGAAAGAAGCAGTGTTGCTTTTATGGGGACCTTGGTACGGAATGGTCTGAAATATTCATTCGACTGCTTGCCTCCTACCCCTTCTCACATGAAGGCTAATGACTTTAGGAAAGGGCACTGGAATCGTTGTTTCTACTGGAGAATATACCGAATTTGGTGCCGTATTTACTACGATGCAGAACGTAGGTTCTCACCTTCCATTTTTTAATCCCTACTTTTGCTTCATTTCGTCATTATGATAGATTGAGGAAAAGCGAACACCGTTGCAGTCCTCGATGGATGAACTCGCAAAGAAGCTCAGCACGCTTTCGTTCGGCATCATTGGCGCTATATGTCTCATCGGAATAATGCAACACCGGAGCTGGCTTGGGATGTTCACAATTGGAGGCAGGTCTTGGATCATTCATTGGGTGCATAATCTTATTGCGATCTATTTCGCAGTGTCGTTGGCAGTAGCGGCCATTCCTGAAGGTCTTCCTATTGTCACAACCGTGACGCTCGCCCTAGGCGTTCTACGAATGGCCGGGCGGAAAGCCATTGTCAAGAAGTTGCCATCTGTAGAGGCACTCGGCTCTATCAGCGTGATTTGCTGCGACAAGACAGGTGGGTTCTTGGCGTTCCAATAGCGAATCACGTGTTGACTCGAGGCCTGAATTGAAGGCACCCTCACCAGAAACGAACAGAGTGTGACGGAAATTCATACTGTCACTGACTTTTTTAGAATAGATCTTCCCCAACTTCAGCCCACTCCGTCTCCGGCTCTGCTGAAGACAATACAAATAGGATCGATATGCAACGCTGCCGTTCGCAATCGTGACGGGATCATTGTGGGCCGGAGCACTGATGTCGCTTTGCTTAGTGTGCTAGGGGTGTTCGGCCTTCCATCTCAAAAGGAGGCAAGATTTGTTGAGTTCACATCGTACATGGTGCTGTCGCTTACCTAAGTCTCATTGCTTCCAGAACTTCAATGTTCTTGCTGAGCGGCCGTTCAATTCAGAGCTCAAGTCGATGGCTGTCAGCGGGACCCACGGATCGGACACTCGTGAAATATACTATATAAAAGGCGCTCTCGAAGTTATCCTACCACGATGTACTGCTTATTACATTTCTGAAGAATCGATGCCCGCCCTGGACGAAGCCACACGCTTGCTCATATGTACAAAGGCCGAAACCGCTTCTTCCCGAGGGTTGCGCCTGGTCGCGATGGCGTACGGCTTTGGGAGCGTTTCGTCCTTGGAAAAGGACACCACCGCTCCGGGGGCCACTGGTTCTCCCCAACGGAATCTTGTGTTCGCAGGATATCAAGCGATGATGGATCCCCCACGGAAGGGCGTATCGGATGCCATATCTTCACTTCACTCTGGCGGCGTCCGAGTCGTCATGATTACGGGCGATGCTGTGGAGACTGGTCTCGCTATTGCCAGGCAGCTTGGCATGCTTGTGCACACGAAGGGTGGCTTATATGAGAATGGATATGGCATCGAATTGCTCCAGCGGACTGGGTCTGCAGGCCCACGAACTGGGTGCCTCACTGGGAAGGAGATAGACGAAATGGACGACCGAATGCTAAGGGATAGGGTTGATGGAATTACCGTTTTTGCTCGTACGACCCCACGACACAAGATGCGCATTGTATCGGCGCTGCAGTCTAGAGGTGCCGTTGTGGCAATGACGGGGGACGGAGGCAAGTGGAGAGGTTTCCTACATCTTTCCCAGTACTCCATTCAACCTTACCGTTATCTAGTGAACGACGCCCCCGCACTGAAGATGGCTGATATAGGTGTGGCGATGGGCAGTGGGACAGACGTTGCCAAAGAAGCGGCCGACGTAATCCTGGTAGACGATAATTTTTCCACAATTCTTGCGGCCATTGAAGAGGGTGCGCCGTCACTCAATTGAACACAGAACCGGTTGGCTCTAATGCTTACATTAGGCAAATCAATATTCCACAATATTCAACATTTCCTTGCGTTTCAACTCAGCACTGCTATTGCGACTCTGACTTTAATTACGCTGAGCACCATCTTCAGGCTCAGCAATCCATTGAATGCCATGCAAATTCTGTTTATTAATATTCTCATGGATGGTAAGCTTCACGATATTTGATTCGGATGGGGTTTTTATGGAAGTATCTTTCAGGGCCACCAAGTCAGTCCCTTGGGGTGGATCCAGCAGACCATTCGGTGATGCGCCGTCCTCCTCGTCCAAAGGATGCACCAATCATTACGAAACAAGTCCTATTCCGAGTGCTCTTCTCTGCCTCTGTCATTGTCTTGCTCACCCTGTTCGTCTATATTCATGAGCTTAGTGACGGTCAGATGTCACGGCGCGATCAGACCATGGTCCGTGATTTACTCTGAGAAAAGCGGGGACTGGTGTATGAACTAACACATCTTCAGACATTCACTTGTTTCGTTTTCCTGGACTTGGCTTCGGCTCTTCAGAATCGCGGGCTTGGGTGCGGCCTGACTCAGAACAAAATGCTGCTGACGACGGTGTTGACTTCGTTTGTTGTGCAACTCGCGCTTGTCTACATCCCAATTACGCAGTCGGTGTTTCAGACAGAGGCTCTTCGTGCACGCGACCTCTTCACGCTTCTCTGCCTTGCGGCCATTTCCATCTTGCTGCATGAAGTCCGCAGGGGTTACGAGCGACAGGACGAACGACGGAGGGACAGAGAGCAAGGGTGGGATCGGGTCGCTAACATTGCATAAGCGAGCGGGATAATATTATTGTAAATCTATGCTGCCCCAATGCCAACTTACCGCTGGATCGGCGCCCATGATCACTTTGTGAACGAGGTGTTGTCTGGGATCGTTCCTCGTGGAGCGGCGTGACTAGCGGCAAATTTGGGTAATAATTGATACTAACTTGGAAACCCCACAGCACAAGTCCTCATTGGTCTAACGGCTATGATACCACTCTTTCACTGATGTACGGCAGAAATGTTCCAGGGTACAGTGGGGACCAGGGTTCGACTCCCTGATGGGGAAGTTTTTTGTGTCCCAAGTGTGGCTCCCGTCCGCTGGCGGTCTGGCGGTCCGCCGGTCCGCAAATTTGTCACTGGCGCTCCCTTGCCGCATTTTGACTTGTCCTTGGGTTCTATTCTATGCCTTAGGCACGATTGGGTGCAATAGATTCTATACAGACTCCGTTCGAAACACCATTATCACCGTTATTGTCGACGCTTTAATATCACCTGCCAGGCTGAGCTACTAGGTATTCGTGGGGGGATGAACTACGGACTTGAAGCAAGGTACATAGGATCTGTCGACAAGACCTAACCTTCCCCCGTGTACCTTCTCATTATTCTCCCGTGATGTTCGCTCAAGTAGTTCAGGTCGTTCCTCAGTGGCTGGACGCTGGGGCATCCGTGTGGAGGACTCAATAACCCCCTAGGCCACGTAGCTAGTATACACCCTGCGTTTATATAGGAGATATAACCTATGTGTGAGGTGGCGTAATTCAGATCAGGTGAAATGAATCATCATGGTTGCTGCTGTCAGTTTCATTTCCTAGCCTATCCGAGTGATCTTCATGAAGGGAGTCCCGGAGTGGGGCGCAGTTCGACTCGGCTTGCCTCCAGAGCCAAGGCGAAATTCGTGATTCGACTAAGTCGACTCGAGACCGAGTACTGCTGACACATGGCATTAATGATAGTCACATACTTTCCGTAGATTCACGTACTACAGTTATCGTGACAATTATCGCACAATACGCCGTGTTATTGGATTGCCGATGTCTCTTTCTGCTTCCGCTTCACTCTGAGTGACAGTGATTTTATCTCTGCCAGCTCCTTGGTCGATTGGGCTTGGAGGAATGCTGCCTCCCTGGCCCGGTGGACCAAGTTGTCGTGCGGCCGATATCCGTCAAGACTGCCGACGTATTCTGCATTCATGTCGTCTGCCCTATGCATAGGAGCCAGATCACGTCGAAGAGAACCCCCGGAATTATCTGAAGGATCCGTCGGATGTCGAGACTCTCTCCCGGGGGAATAGGGGTGGGATGCGAGGGGTGATACAGGCCATATCTACTTCTTTTCGAAGCACATGATCGATGTCGACGGCAGAAAAAAAGGCAACACCTTGGGGCAAATCATCAAAGCCGAGACGGAAAGCGAACTGGCTTCGCGTCCAAAGATTAGCAATCTGCAACGCCATGGCGAGCCTGTACTTGTCCTCTTCGCGCACGAGGTATCTTAGCTCATCGTGTACAGATATGAGATAGCGAGCATCGATGTCGTACGTCGAGATCAAATATTCCATCGCAACGATCAAGAGATGGAGGTAATCGACGCCTGAGGACTGAACCACCCAATTAATCCTCGACGGCATGAAATCAGTACCAAAGCCTGGTTGAAGATATTCTCTTGAAAGCGCTTCGGTCACCCCACAGCCGAGTGCAGGTGTTTGAGGCGCATCAGACAGTGCAATCTCTTCGAGCTTATTGAATACAAAGCTCTCGGTGCCTCCGTACCAAAATTTCCGTGAAAATAAGTCCTTTCGGCGAGTGTTTTTACCTTTAGTTGACGCATATAGGTTTTCGGCAAGTAGCCGAGCATGCTCTGGGGCCATATTGGGATTAGATTGAAGCAAGAGAAGTTCAGCGTGACGCATTCCTGCCCCATAAATGCGCGAGTAGTTAAAAACTTTGGCTTGATCGCGACTAATGCCAAGGATTTTGGCCGTTTTCGAGTGCAGGTCGGTCCCTGCGGCTTTGGTGCCCTCAAGGGTCATCCAACCAATAGCACTAGCCCCGTGCAATCCAAATTGTGCATCTCCCATCACACTAGAGATCCAAAGCTCCTCAGAATCAACATCAGCGCCAACGATCGCGTATCCCGGTGGAGCGCGAACCATGGCTTTGAGCTCCGACCCTACACGGTTCTTCTTGGCGTTAGACGCCGTCATCCACGTTTTTTCTATCGCCCGGCGAGTCACGGTCCCCATGGTGACGACTTGGGGAAGGATCAAACCCCATTTTTCAGCGGCGGAAGCCGCAACGCCAATATCGATGATGCTTTCCTTGCTTCGGACGACCATTTGGTTCATGATGCGGTCCCTCGCACTAATCCAATAGCTACACTCCGCATTCAATTTGAGAGCCTTGGTGGCGGCGTCGTTCGGACTCGAGAGAGTACCATCGCTAGCATATTGCACAAACGTCTTGGTGAGGGGCGAACCGACATTGGCTTTTTCACCATCCTTGTGAGGCAATTTGTAAAACACGTATCCTCCCTCGACGTAGGCTCTTAAGGCCTCATCCTCATCCCGAGTGAATTCCACCTTTGTTTGACGCGTTTGAAATGATGCTACCGCGTCTTTATCAACCCGAAAAACCCAACCGTGTGGGCGGGAGTGGAAGAGTGGCCACCCGCGCCAGCTAAGCTTGAGAAGAAGAGCTGCGACCCGACTGCGAGGTGTGAGATCCAGGGATCCCGGGGCCTTGCCGGATTTAGGGGCTGTGAGATCGAAGTACCAGTTTGGCCACATAATGGCCTTGTTCTGAGGAACATCAACCAGTGGTGGGATTCTTCGAGCGGGTTCGTGTGTGTGTTTTGGAGGTTCATCAAAGACCAGTGGTGTCCAATCCAATTGACTGTATCGTTCATGAAGACGACTAGCTTCACATGTTGCATTGTTGATATGAAGAAATTTCGACGCCACAGATGTTCTACCGAGCAATCTTCTGGCTGCCTTAAGAACCAGGTCTTGATGGACAACCAGGCCGGAGGGCTCGGATAGTTCCAGGAGAATTCTTTTGGAAATACCATGGGCCTTAATCTGGCCCGAGTAGATGCGAATGTTTAATGACTTATGAAAGAATCGCCGCGAAACCTTTGAATTAGGAAAGGGTATACGCTGCCAGTTGAATGTCTCCGCATTAGACGGGACAATATCAGGGTGTGGAACATTGGGGACACGGTATACCCATCCATCTTGCGATGTCCAGAACACGGGATATCCATCATAGGTGATCTGAAGAATATGGGGTAGGGCACTTCCAGGATTGTCTACGAGCGTAGGCGAACATGCGAGGCGATGATACCACGCTGGAAGTGCATAGCGGCCGTCACGACGCGGGCCATATCGATTTTCTATGGGAGTTGTTTCGATGTCTTCGACGACCGCTGCCGTATCATAATAATTCCCTTCAGATGACTGCACGTCCACATCACAGTCTTCGGTTTCGACATATGGAATACGATTTACAGTCGCCGTCTTGGGAGTCCAATCGAGCTGACTGAGCCAAGGATCATTGCGCCATTCTCCGTTTTCAAATAATCCACGTGCCTTCCTCGCAAGATTGTGCAGCGCTGCAAGGACCGAGATTTCGCTGGAACGATATGTTTCCTCTGCCCTGGCAATATATTCGTCCCATGCGTAGTTGACGGGGAGGAAGCTATTTCCCATAGTAGCGACCCCAGCAAATGTGGCAGGGCTCGGACACGCCTCCAAAAAGAGTGGGAGGACTTGAGTGTAAACCCTATGTGTCACATCTACGTCTTGCGCACAATAGGATAGGTACGCATCCAGGTCTGCCCGGATGACATCTGGGGGAGACTTCATGAAATCATTTCGGGGGGCTTTGCTGATCTCAATCCCGCAATGGAGACGCGCGACTTCCGCCAACGAGTTCACAGACGTAATGTCTTCCCAGCGGGTCGTATCTTCGACATCGACATCCTCCAAATTGTTTAGATGAGGAAGACTGTCCTCCATCTCGGCTACCTCTCGCTTTAGGCGTTCTCGATTATCGGCATCCATCTCCTTCTGCATCCGAGCCTCCGCATCATGCAGCATGCTTTTAACGGCATCGATAGTCTCCACCCTGATGTTTTTGCTCTCCTCGCGTGCCTTGCGGCGGGTCATCCACGAGGGCCGTTGATGCGATGAGATGCCTTTAACGGAGACGTGAAGTGCCATGGTATCAAGAAAGCGAGACTTAGTGCGCTTGACGTGGTATTCCTCAAGAATGCGGGCGCGATCATATGAGACATTATGGCCTACTATTACTCGATCCCTGGAAGGGTCGCCGATGGGGATCAGGTGTTCTGGGCTGTCGTCTATCCCGAGAAGCCACGGCGAAAGCCACGAATACCAAGCATCTGGTGATGCAGCGCACGCCATGACAGCATATTTGTGATGTGGTGGCATCGTTTCTACGTCGAAACAGATCAGAGTCTCATCGGCTAGATTGTCCACATGCTCAAACGAGCCATCGGGATAGTACTTCGTCCAGCCAGCCTCGTGGACCCAGGATTCCGGAGGAGCGGGAATCGTAATTGACGCGAATTTCTTGGCCAGAGACAATGTAGGCTCCGCAACGTTCATCCCAAGACGATGGAAATGCTCGTCGATAGTGTTCCCTTGCAAAGGCGGAAGGTCAAACGAGATGTCGGGCAAGATAGAACCTTGGGAGGGATTCAGGTCATGCGAGGCGAGATGATCGCGGGATATTTGAACGAAGGTAGAGTCTGGAGAAGGAAACGAGACATTGCGAAATATTTGAGAATGGAGACTACGTGACAGCAGCTGCACCCCAACTTCATTCCGAACGATAACTGACAAGATGATGATGGGGTATTATCAGCAGCCCACGAATAATTACACAGGCGCGTTACCATTCTCATATGGATAAGCATCTGATTTTTCAGACTCTACAGGAGCCCGCATCTTTCGTGGTTTTTCGGCCACAGCCGTGTAGCGTCGGCAAGCATCATAAAAAGAACGAAGAGACGCCGCGGCATTAGCAGACGAGGAGACTCGCTGCATCTATCCTCGGCGTAAAGTATAATACAAGCGGAAGTTGCCGCTTGACCGTTACTTGACATTCGGCTGAAGCGGTTAAGCGCCGTGGACCATGGCAGACCAGTCATCGCCAGCTGTCGATGCAGCTAATGAGACTCTAGCTGGTCTTCGCCTCTCGATTGATTCCAATGGGAATGGTCTTCCGAGCCTTTTGTCTTCACCAAGCGTTCCTCAAGTAAATG